ATATATGTTAAATAATAGTTCTTCTGTGATGAACATCTCTCCAGGTTAGTGAGTGCTGGTCAGAGATGTGCCGTCCTGCTGTATTCCAGCAGAGGGCACACTTGTTAATGATGTATCCAGAGCTGCTGCTGCTGCTATGGCCGCTTTGTTTGAACACCTGTGTCCACATGGAGAAGAGAACCAGTCTTATCTGCTCTGATAATCAGCTGCAGTCACTCATCATCATCAACCGGGGTCATCCAACCTGTGCGGTCACACTGACAAGCCTCGAGTCCTGATACATTAGCTAATTATGAACCCATTCTTCCCAGATAATCTTGAAGGACTCGTCACATACTCAGAAACCTGAAGTCTTTAACAGGTTGTGTCGTAAGTCACTGTGTCCTCGGCCAGTGTTCTGCAGGGTTAGTCCACATCCTGGTGTGTCGACTGTTCAACGTAGTTCATTCGAACAGACTTGTTCAATGAGCCTTGAAAATGAAGACAATGATTCTTGGGCCAATTTTAGGACTGGCAAATGTCTGAGAGTCATTTCTGGCGAGCCACATCAAAGTGGAGAGAAAATATAACTTTTCCTCTCGGGTGCGGACGCAGGCCCGGGGCTGCGAGGATTTTTGGGTCGGAGGACATGTGGCACATGCTTTGATCTGACACACCACAGGATCTGACAGCAAGATTTGGTTTTGAGCTGATGACTTTATGGCTTGGCGTCCAATGGCAGCAGGTCTGCGAATGGTGATTGAAATGTTATTGCTAAAAATTCCTGCAGAGGCTGTAACATACAAACGCTTGTACACGCAATATGTACAATTACAACTTTAAGCTAAAGGCCATAGCTGCTGACAAAATTCAGATTTCATTTTATTCAGATGAATAAGGAGCTGAAGTCAGATCCAGATGTTTATCTAAAATAGACGTCAAATGAATCATTTGGTATTTGTCAAGTAAAAATACCAAGTTCTCTCTTTTATATCATTCAAATTATTTTATGTGATTTTTTCAACGACATCATGCAGGCGACAGCCAGAGGACCCGATCAAGACATTGAGTTTCCAGTTTGTAATTCTTGAGTTAGGGTTGCTGCAAACCTTACGTTGGACTCAAGAAGTGATTAGATTAAAAAAACACACACCTAATCTTAAAGGGTTATCTGTCATGTCAACTATTTAGTTTATTCATTATAATCTTTAGAATTTACAAAGAAATTGCACTTTTAGCTTAACACAACTGAACAGTTGTTCTATTGTGTTTTAGTGGATGTTGGAAAGTTCATGTCTGCATCTTGTGTTTGGTCTTCTTTTCATTGCCTTTCACCAAACTGTCCCCAGGTTTAATGGTTGTATGGAGTTGAAAAAAAAAAAACCACACCAACAACATGTGACAATCTCCGGTCCTGACTGCAGCCTGACCGTGTCGGCTCTCCTCGCCTGACTCCTCTCCTTCTCTTCTCTCTGGCAGAGCAGGGAGTTGGCTCGTAAGATGGTCAAGCACGGCCACAAGGGCACGGTCCTGAGCAGAGAGGAATTTGAGGAGAAGAAAGCAGCTGCGCTCGCTACCGAGGCCACGAAGAGCAACGCGTTATACAACAGGAGCCGTCCAGTGTGAGTTAACTTCCCACCAACCCACTACACTCGCTGAGGTGTGGTCTGCATGAACAGGGCAGAGACATTCACACCAGCCACCAGTGTGATGAGAGAATATCAGTGTGTTGTCCCCTGAAAATGAAGTTTGGCTTTTTCACATGTGGTCAGTGGATTTTGGAATCAGTCAGTCGCTGTGGCTGAGAGAAGAGAAGCTGCTGTTGTGGCCTCAGCCGCTCTGTGTTAGCGTTCTGTGGTTCATTGTGTCGACTTGTCTTTCAGTGTGAAAGAATAATATTTGAGATGAGCGATGGTGGAGGCCTCTGTTGGACTGCTGTGATGCCTCAGACACTTTCTATCTTTTCTTTATCTCTGCTCATATTATTGACAACGATAGGATTCTTTTATTTATTTATTATAATCTACTGCACTGTCAGCATGTTTTGTTTTATCTTGTCGACACAGGGAGCATACGAGGAGAAGGAAAAGCTCTAGCTCCACCATCAGACAATACACTTGCTAGCAGCTTTAAGAATGCTGCTGTAGCTAATCCTGACCTCTGACCTCTGTGCGTATGGGTGGCGAGAGGGTCCAATGAAGTGTGGTCAGGTACTGGTTGATTGCTGTCATTGTCACAGTATACTAGGCACCAGATTCTGACCAAACGTAAAGTCAAAATGTTTACGTCATGAATTTGATCTTCTGAGTTCCGAATTGGCAAAGACCTCCTGATTGACAGCTGGATAGGCTCCACACCACAGTCAGTATTTCGGCCTCATTTCTGGATAGGTGGAGGAAGTGGAGACGTGTCGTCCATCTTTATTTACAGTCAACAGCTCAGACACAACAAGAGGTGAATTTTTCTTTTTTAGAGACGCTGTGATTGACTTCAAAAAAAAGTTTGCAAAAGAGTGTCCAAGTTCAAAAATCAGATCAAAACGTTTAATTAAAACGAGCTGAATGACACAACTACAAACTGCAGTCCTCTGTAAACTGCCCTCCCCTGAGGAAAGTGATCACACAGATGCTTGATAAAGCTGTGTGGTGGTGTCTCCTTTGATGACAAGCCAGAGCAGACTCCAAAAAAGACCGTACACACACACACACACACACACACACACAGTTACACACACACGGCTGTGCAGTATCCAAACATTTACCTGTGTTAGGTGTTGCATTTGATTGAACCCTCAGATGCTTATCCAAATGTGCCGTCTCGCCGTCCCCTCCCCTCCTCCTCCTCCTCTCTCTGTGAACATCAGTGACACTGGTGAAATGGGAGCCTCCACACCTGCAGTTACACTGATATTAGGCCACAAAGACTTTCATCTTGTCCCAGCAGGATCCAGGGAAATGTTGTACGGGAACACTGGGATGTTATATACACAGAAGTCTGTTCCGCTTCCAAGATCTACATCCATGTTGAGGCCCTTTCAAAGGCTGCGATCCTGGAGCGTGTTTGTATGTGTCCTGACTTTGTTTGGAATACAGGATGACATACACCACATTGACAACATCCAGTCAGACGCATTTTAAAGTCATGGAAAATCTGTCTCCTGTGGTTTGAGAGGTGGCTCTGAAAAGTTTGTAGTTTGTTCCTGCGGCTGTGGATTCACCACAGTTACAATGGACAACGCAACTTAATATGAATAATAACATTTTTAAACATCTACTTTTAAGGATTTTTTTTAAGTTAAACATTATTAAAGTTAGTTGTTTGTATTTTCTTGGTCTTAATAACAAATCAAAACATCTACACTAGTGGGGGAAAGGAGTAAAACATTTCCAATACCAATATGTTGAATGCATTTAACATTGATTCCCACGATGAAAAAAATAAAGCCAAATAGCCATTAATCTGGATATTTCAAGTTTGGGCACCTCTGTACAGTGCTGTTCCAAAACATGAGTCAACCTCTGAATCATTGTCTGGAAAACTTTTGACATGATTCAAGTTCTTTGAAATTTAAAGCGTGGGCCATGTGCCAGTTTAAGCACCCCCCCCCCAGGGGCACGAACGCTCCCTGTTGCTGATAGGTTGGAATAATGTTTCCCATTTACAGAACCAGAGCAGTTGAGGAACACCAGACGTTATTTCTTCAGGGAGAATTAGCGGACTGTGAGGAGATATTGACAAGAGAGTGTGTTAGATTAGCACTGTTAACTTAACCTTTAGCCAATCGTGTGTTTAATGAGCTTCAACACCTCGAGAGAAATACGACAGTGCAGTTGTTTCTCATTTGCCTCATATTGAACTCGACAGGAGCCGTGTTCAAATAAAACATGACTTTGAAATAATGAGATGTTATTGTGCCAGCATTAAAGTGGAGGCTGGTTCCCGTCCAGTTCATTGTAGTAATTTCTGTTTTGAATACTGACGCACCTGTTTGAGAGAATATCTGAACTGTTTAAAAATCCTCTCCTGGCTCACGTGAATGTGATTTTTTGCCACGATCAATTATTATTGGGCTCGTCTTTCTTCAGAAGATTAAAATGCTCTGTTAATAATGGGACATTTGCTCACTCATAACAGTCTGATCAGACCGCAGCAAGTGGTTTTTGAATCGTTTCCAAGATAATTAACCAGCATGTTATGCTATTTCAAAAAGAAAACACTTTACATTGGATGTGATCCTGTTCTTGGTAAATGATAGTTTAAAGCAAATTAAGTTTTTTTAATTTTATATCTAACCATTAAATAATCATCTGATACATCTGCTTGTTTTGCAGTTTCCTTAAACTGGGCCTAGGCGGTTCACTTTTAGAAATGTTGTTGAATTCCAACTCACACTGTGAATTGTCTGTTACGTAAAGCCGAAGATCATGGAAACATCCAACAGACAGACATGTTGCCATAGCTCAACCAGCCTGGCCTCCATTTTAACCATGTTAGCCCACCTTGACATCACCCATTGGTTCGTGAGCTGCTGCTTTGAGGCCGCGAGTTTGACATTTTCTTTCTCCATCTTGTTCCGACAACCTGCACACCGAAAGACAAACAATGCATCATAAAGGTCAAATGCGGTCCAGCTCTAAAATAAGAAATTCGAACAGTGTCTCCAGCTTTACACCTGTGTGAGTCATCAAATGTCCTGAGAGGAAATTAAAGAAAGTGAACACATTCACTTGCTGTTTGGATTGTTGCTGCAACACTAACAACCTGTAGGTGACTACTCAACAACATATGTGGATGTAAACCTTATTATCATCTTAAATTATTTTCCCACCTTGAAAATGTGAAACTTTGACAAGACAGGAAAAAAAAAACTGCAGAGCTTTTGCAGACTTCTTCCATCAGAAGTCTAAATGCAGATTGTTCATTCCTCTGTGGTTTTCTGATTGGACTTCCACCAAACTGACCCCCTGACCTCCTGTTATGGTCACACTGTGAAAACACGGGCCCCAGGATGCAATATACCACCTGCGACGTGTCTGAACACAATCAGTACAGTGTTCAGAGTGGCCACAAAAGCTGGCAGCTGTGTGGTAAACAATCTACAAGTCATTATTCAACCAAGTGAATCAACTCAGTGATATTAGGAATAACCAAACATTTGCCATTTATTTGAGCCTCTTTTCAACAGATGTTGATCTCAGTTTTAAAAATCCTTCCCTAAAGACTTGTACACTAGCATTTTATCCTCTCATGGCGCCGGACGGCCATGCTGGTTTGGAAATGTCTTTCGCCTTCTCTGTGGGCCTTAACCTATGTCTCCCAAGGCATGTCTTTTTTCACCGCTCTGTCACTGCTTTGTGTTTCTTCCCTTCCTTTCTCTTCTGCTTTAACCTCCCTGTGCGCTCTTGGAGACCTTTAGTGCCTGCAGGTGTATAAATAGAGCTGTTTTCAATTAAGGGCAAACCTCGCCTGTAGCGTGCATCTGATCAATGAATGCCCCTGCACCTGTGGTAATAAAATACCAAGGGAGTGGGGATGGTGCTGTGAATGCTAATCAGATGTTGCCCTGTTGTTGCCCCGGCCCATTCTTAAGGACAACGTGCTCCCCCTGACAGCTCGGCTGTGAAAGCAGGGGGAGCGGCTTTGCCAGCACATCACACAAATAACAAACAAAAGACCTGGTGCGCTCATCAGACATCAGTGAAATTCAATACATGATCGGAGAAAAGGACACTTGAATGAATGAACAGGACGATTAGTGTGAGGATGTTTAGTTGTGGAGTAAACTCAATGGAGAGTCAACAGATGGTTACCAAAAAAAAAAAACAGGGCATGGTTTTGATTTCCTGTTTTCACTTGTGGATCAAATTTAAAGTTGGTGAGATATCCACATGTTAGGTTGTACTAGTTTTTCAGTTTCCCTGTTTTCCAAGTTAAGTATGAAACATTCATTAATTTGGCCCATGTCCCATCTGCTAACATGGAGTTTATGACCTTTACTGCAGCCGGGCCACCAGGAGGCGTGGAGGCACTTTGGCTTCACTTTTGAGCAGCAGTCATGTCATACTTCCTCTGTGGAGTTCAGATTAGCACTGATTGATTATAAATTGATAATTAATAACTGGTGTTGTTGATGTCATACTTGTGAACACACTTTTTTAATTGTGATGTGAACATTATCAGTGTGAATGTTGACTTTGCATATACAGATAATTGCCACATTGAAACTGTTATAATTCTCCTCAGTGCCTTAGCAGATGGTGAAAAAAGTTCCCTTTTAAACGAACATAAATTATGTTCCTTTGACTTTTATTTGAGGGCATGGGCGTGACGTAATTATTTAATCTGTTCTAATTTGATGAAAATGTTGTAAAACACTAAGCCAGCAAAAGAAAATTAACACATGTGTAAGAAGATAAAAAATATAGGAATGTGGGCTCGTCTCAAAACTGCCTCAGTGCGGTAAGACTTTGATTTTCGCAGAACATAATAATCTTACATTTCCCAAACTGCCAGAAGTTGGAAACCGTCTTCTGTTAATTCGATCAAAATCCATCCAAATTAGAAGTCATGCACTTTGTCATGAACAAGAAAAACATTTGATCTAGAGTCAGAGACAAACACG